ACAAGATGTTCACACACTACATATCCACAAGACAATATAGTTGGTGAGCCTGGTGGGGTCCATGCAGCCATGCCTCCATAGAGCTAGCTTTGTGAATAGCGTAAGTTGAACATAGATGGACATTTTTTTCGGTGATGTTTTAAGCCGACCTGGTCCTTCTGCTCCTTGTTGTTTAATGGGCTCAAGATGAAACTTCATCATCACCTAATCCTTCTCACAACTATATGAGATTGGCTACATGAATAATGTTTCACTATTCTATTTTGTTTATTATAATATCTATCATTAAGTTATGGGTACTTGAATCATTTTTTATTACTTCTACCAAAATTATTTTCAATCTGCCTCTATCTCTTTTAGCCCCCTTCAACTTGTAACGGTTCACTTTTTCTAATAGGTGTTGTAGATGGTCTTCTATGTATGCACTTACCCAGTGTTTGGTTTGAAGGAAAAAGTAGGAAAAGGCAGGAAAACCTATATAAACTTTGTATAGTTACCTTTCCCTACATCTTCCTTCAAACCAAACATAGCTTTAATGTGCCTACTTTTTCTCATTTTATCACTTATTGGAGAGCTATTCCTATGTTACTTAATATGACTTCATTTCTTCCATTCCTTCCTAGTTTTACCATCATCCATTTAAGCATTTACATTTCTGTCACATTCATTTGAACATGCTATTTCTTAAGAACCCAACATTGTTCCATACCCTTTGATTGATTGGTATGATGAAAGAACTTTCTTGCAATTTGCAACCACCTAAAACACTGATCAGGATACCCTTTAATTAGGTATTCAGTATTCGGTGAACATTTCAAAAGCTATGCACCCATTGCCTCCTTGGATCAGTTATGAACATTGGATTTTACAAAACTGTTGCTCTATTGTGAATGGTCGTGTTACATCTAGGTAAATTTTGCACTTTAGAATTGAGACCTTTGGACTTAGATAGTAGCATGAGAACATTGAAGGCTGTTTGATAACTGTTGGATTGAGTGAATTGCAAAATAAGGATTTAAGCATTAATAATTTAACAGTGAATATGGCTTTAAATAGAACAGGTTTGCGAGAAAAGGATTCATGTAGCCAACCCCCATGTAGTTGGGATAAGCATGGATGATGATGATGATGAGTAAATTAAATCTTATAGTGAAATATTTAGACATAAAGTAGTCAATAATCTGGTATGCCATCAGCAATTGGGGAGCTTGAATCTACTTAATTAATTCCTTATTCACTAAAAGACAAGCCAATAGGCAATTCAGTTCATTCAATTCAGCTATTATCAATCAAATAACCCTTCTAATTGTGGCTTAAGCTATGCCAAAATCCTAGAATTTTGGCCAAAATAACTCAACCACATTTTGCATCATATTAGAAAAAGCGTTTGAGAATTATAGTTTATAACTCTGGTTGGAAATATAGCTTATGCCATTGCAAGCTAGGTTGGGCTAAAAACGATCATCCCTAGTGAGAAGACTTTCGAATTTAAACTACCTGCCCAAGCCAAATAAAACCCACTTGAGTCATCCTAAATTCTGTTGGGATTAGTCTAGGTGGAGTTTGGATTGGTAAAATTGGGCTTTGTCCTTGATCTATGGCCAAGCCCAAGGTCCATATCTAGGAATGGGCTTTGGTTTGTTTCTTAACTCTACTAACCCATCCAACCTATACCCCTATTTTATTAAAAGGAGAATGAGGATTTAGAGAGATTTAAGATGACAGGAAGAGGAGCTTAATGGGGGGGAGGAGGTTTTAAATACTAACTCTTTGAGAGGGTTAAGAAAAATTTTATTGGTTATAATAATCAAGATTTGAGATGATTAGGTGATTTTTATATTTTTTTGTTAAAACATCACATCACATGGTGAGAAAAGAAAGGAGAAGGAGGTGCATGTGTTGTGAGCATTGAGGTGAGAGTACTCCTAGCCTCAGTCCCCTAATGTGCTTTATTTATTTTATATTAAAAGTATAAAAATCATACATTATTTGTTGATAAAAAAAAGTAGAAAAATCATATATCCATCTCAAGTACTCTCTCTCTCTCTACAATATCAATGTTTGTAACCTCTCCACTGCCCTCACCCGTAAAGTCCCCCTCTCTCACCTTAGATCTCTCTTGATTTCTCTACTGTCTCTAATAAAATAGGAGTATAAATTGGAAGGGCTGGAAAGTTAAGGAACAACCCAAGCCTATCCCTTAACATAGATATTGGGGCCAATCATAGACCAAGGTCAATGGCTCAGGTGGGTTTAGTTGGGCTTGGGTAGGTTGTTCAAATTTGAAAGTCTTCTAACTAAAGGTGATCATTTCTAGCCCAGCACGGCTTGTACAGCCTATATAGAGAGAGAGACAGATAGATAATTATGTCATATGATATAAAATATTATGTATTTTCTAATATAAATATATTTATAAAATTATAGTCATAGAGGCCTGGTTCGGGCCTGAGACTAAAATTATAGTCATATAGGCTTATATTTCTAGCCTTAATTGTGGACTAAAACTCTGAAACGCTTCTTCATTAATTGGTATGGATATAATAAACAATTTTCTTTTAACAGAAAAGACAAACAAGGGATTGAATAGGGTGACGTGTCATGCAGAAGAAGCTCTCAAACAGCCAAAATTTTCTCATATTCTATGTTTGTCATGGCCCCTAAAAATTTTATCCTTCTTTGCATTTTTGAAAGATAAAAATAACCAAATGACATTAAGAGCTAAATTTCCATAATTAAGATGTTTATTTATTAACTCTTTATTTAATTCAGTATTACTTCAGTTCTCTCTTTATTATATTAGAAGATTTATTTAACATAAATATGAAAATTAAGAGAGTGTTCAACAACATAGTTGGTTTTGTTTTTCAAAACAAAAACCAACATTCTTTCCAAATTTATTTAGCATACCAAAATATTCGATATATTAGATTAGAAAAATATCAATTCATTCCAAATTTAATTTTATATTAATACAATATTCTATGCATTAATTTAATAAAATTAAATGTAGTGTTTAAGAAAAAAAGGACTCATGGATATGTATATTCCATATTTTTGAATTCTAATATTACATACAAACAATTGATTCAAAGAAATAATTAACATAGAAATAATCTGTATTGTATACAGAAAAAAGACTGGGCCTATCTCAGCAATTCAATCATTATCGCCTGTAGTGGGTGGGTCAACACTTAAACCATTGGGCCCATGATGTTGTAAATAATATAATAAAATATAAAAAATAGATAAAGATGAAAGTTAAATAAAAATTAAACGAAAATTAAGTCTGATTATGTGGTTTATTGTTGTTAATGGTGAATTGGCTAAAAATACAAAATAAAAATGAGATTTAATATTTAACCTATGGCCCACAGACTTTGAACCTGACTGGATGACAATGACAGGGTCATCCATACTAATAAAGTTAACAAGACGTTAAAAACGAGTCAGTCAGTGTAAGACCGGTTCGAACACCCTTTATAGCCTTGCATTGAGAATATTCCCATACTTATGTGCTTTATTTCATGGGAGATATTCCCAATGCAAGGTTGGGAGAGACTGCTCGAACATTTTAGCACTGACTTGCATCAGTAAACGAAATCGATTTCAGTCAGTGCTCACACTGTTTGAACAGTCACTCCCAACCTTGCATTGGGAATATTTTCCTATAAAATAAAGCTCATAAGTACAGAAATATTTTTTTTTATTTTTTTAACTACAAAGTTCCATTTTTTTATCAATAACACTTTCATTAATTCATCGGTCATAAGTATAGAAATATTCTCAATGTAAGGCTGTAAAAGGTGTTTAAACCAATCTTACACTGACTGAAGCTGAACTCATAATTGAAATCATTTGATAGAGAGGAGAGAGAGATTGAGAAATCTGGGTTCATTTCAATTCTTTGGGTCTTGAGTGTGTCAAGTGTATTGGGTCTCCATATGGGTACGAGGCCCTTATTTATAATATCTTTGATCTCTTTTAATTTTAGAATTCTCATATATTTGCTTTTTTACTTATTTTATTGTGAACATCCCATTGAAATTGGGGTTCACTCCATGGCTGAAATGGTATGGAATCACCACCATCTAGAATAGAAACATGGAAGTGATGGGCCTCCCATGTTCAATGAACAAGGCATGACTTATACATACTCAAGATAAGGTTATTCTAGATACTTTTTAGGGGGGGAGGTAAGGTGATAACTCCCACACTTTACATGTAGTACCATTCCCCTAATTTAGTAAAGAAAGAATAAGAACCAAAGGAAATAAAACCTACTAAATTCCTAGCAACCTTACCCATCAAAGAGGATAGCCATGGTGGCTTGTTTCCCAAGTGATTCAACCCTCTCATTCTCTCTTTTGGGTGAGGGAAACCCTTAAAGGAGCAAAGGATTAGGCAACTATATGCATCCTCCTTCTTTATCCAATGTTCCCATCATTCCTATTAGGCTAATGAGAGAAATCAAAAAGGGAATCAATCCCCTATGAGCCACCTCAAATAGGGCTTACTAAACACAATCTACACTTAGGATAAAAAAAAATCATAAAGCAAAATAATCAAATAAATAAGAAAACAAACTAATTTAAATTATAATTTGACATGAAGATAAAGCACAATTAAACACATATTCTAACATTCAAGCAAAAGATCCAAAATGTATATTCACTTAAGTAGACAAATCCGAATATGAATAATATGAGAGAAGAAATTTCAGCAATGATATTGATTCTAATTAAGTTAAGTAACTACTAAACAGACATAGAATGCTATTCAAATCAACCAACAAACCATTCTAATGATTTTTACACCTAATAACTAGGAAATTAACCAACAAGAATGCCAAACACCATCCAATCAACAAAATAATCACTGCTGAAATGAAAAAAAAAAAAAAAAACACCTAGATCATTAGGAAGATTTAAGAAAACAAAAAAAAATCATTAAAATAAAATAAAAAATAAAAATAAAAAAGGATAAGGTGAGGGGCTCACCTCTTTGTGGCCTTTTGACAAATACTTGGTGATGAACTCGGTTGTAAAAAATGGTGCTATAGAAATGGCTTCGGATTTACCTAAATGCAATGAAGGGAATCTCCTTTCTTTGCTTATTGCTTGGCTGGCCGAAATGATGGAGAGGGATGCTCATTCCTCTTTCTTTAGAGGAGAGAGCTTGATAGGGGTTTGATGGTGGGAGGTTGGTGAGGAAGGAGAACTGGTTCGTTCATAGTAGTTTCATAGAGGTTAGGGATGAGAGAAGAAAGGAGAAGGATCAAGATGGAGCTAGGATTCGGTTCTTGAGAGGGATTAGAGAGAATGGTGAAAGTGAGAAAGAATGAGGGAGAATGAAAAGTCCCCCATGCTAGGTTCGGATTTGGGTCTTATGGCCTTTTTTTCTTTGAGTTTTTTTAGTTTTCTTTGGTTTTTCTTGGTTCAAAAAAGTGGTAAGGGTCCTAGTTTGGTTTGGGGGGTGGTTTAGCTCCATTAGAACTGAACTGGGTTTAGTTTAGGGTTTGGTTAAACTTGGACCGAATTGGAGAGTTTTGGTTAGGGTTTAAGTGTGAAAGGTTAGGGTTTTGGACTTGGTTTTCAAAAGAGGTGGAATGCTATGATGGTTCGATCTAATCTAAGGGATGGTGACTTCCTAGATTCTTTCCTTATTAATCTCTTGCCTTTTGACGAAATTTAAGGCAAGGAGACAGCTTCCCTTGATTTTCTCCTCCTTGTCTCCTTCCCATAAATGCTTAGAATGGGGAGTTTTCAAATTTAAATTCAAATTTTGAATTGAAAATGGCTTAGCCTAATTTATAAGGAGGATGGCTAAGGTTTTGGGGTGCTAAATGATGGTTAGACCGATCCTAGGGTGGAGAAGCAAGGGGGGCTCAAATCCAAGGCTAGGATTTATTCTAGGTTTAGTGAGGGTTTTGGGGTGATTTCCAGAAATGTGAAAGGACTTGAGTGAAAAAACAAAAAAACGGTTTTTTTGCAATGAGAGGGCAAGTCCAAGGGGTGTAATGTGGAGGATTCAAGGACTGAGATTAAAATTCAAGATATTGGGGTTTTTCTCAACCAATGAGATCGCACGAATTGGAATCTTTGTAGATGGAGGGGTAAAATGGGGAATTTTGTAATAAAATTATCCAAGGGGGTTTTAAGGTGTCTGAAAAGGGAAATGATGGGGTTTAATGGCCTCGAGGGGTGTGTCAGAGTGAGAAATCATGATTTGGAGTGTGTTGATCAATGTGGGCCGTCAAATCATGATTTTTCTTGATATAAGGGTAAAATGGTAATTTTGGGTCTAAAGATGGAGGAGGGTTTATTCGGGTTTCTAAGAAGATGATGACGTGGTCTAGGTGTATCGAAGGGCGTACCGAAATGTCAATCTTGAAACAGGAGAGCAACGGCCAATGAGAGCTCTCGATTTGGAATCTTTATAGATGAGGGGTAAAATGGTTAAGGCTTGAGGTTTAACAGATTGATGATCGAGAGGTTTTGATGGGGTTTGGAGGTGCTAGATGATGTGTGATGATGGATCTTGAATTTGGGGCATATCGGGCGATAAGGATGGTTCATTTGGAATCTTTTTAAGCTAAGGGTAAAATGGTCATTGTAGGGTCTAAAATGTGATGGATCATCGATCGGGAGGTTTGATGGGGTTTAGAGGTGTGTGATGATGGATCTTGAATTTGGGGCATATCAGGCGATGAGGATGGTTCATTTGGAATCTTTTCAAGCTAAGGGTAAAATGGTCATTTTAGGGTCTGAAATGTGACGGATCATCAATCGGGAGGTTTTAATGGGGTTTGGAGGTGTTAGATGATGTGTGATGATGGATCTTGAATTTGGGGCGTATCGAGCGATGAGGATGGTTCATTTGGAATCTTTTTAAGCTGAGGGTAAAATGGTCATTTTAGGGTCTGAAATGTGATGGATCATCAACTGGGAGGTTTTGATGGGGTTTGGAGGTGTCAAATGATGTGTGATGATGGATCTTGAATTTGGGGCGTATCGGGCAATGAGGGTGGTTCATTTGGAATCTATTTGGATGAAGGGCAAAATGAGTATTTTGAGGTCTGATATTGGGTGGATGGTTGATCAGGAAGTTGGTGGAGGTCTCAGGGTCTTGGATGGAGTATCTCGATGAAGATCTTGGATTAGGAGAGTGGTGGCTAATGAGGATCTTCGATTTGGAATCTTTGTGTACGAAGGGCAAAATGGGTATTTTGAGGTCTGAAATTGGATGGATGGTCGATCAGGGTTTGATGGAGGTTTAAAGAAGACTTGTGTGTCTCGGGGGAGTTGTCGTGATGGAGATCAAGAATTTTAAGAGTGGTAGCCAATGAGGATCGTCGGTTTGGAATCTTTTGGATGAAGGGAAAAATGGACATTTTGAGGTCTAAAGTTGGATGGATGGTCGATCGGGATGTTGATGGAGGTTTTGGGGGTCTTAGATGATGTTCCTAGATGAAGATATTGGATTTGGATAGTGATGACCAATGAGGATCGTCGGTTTGGAATCTTTTTAAATGAAGGGTGAAGCGGTCATTTTGGTCCTAAAATTTGGTGGACAGCCGATCAGGGGTCTGATGGAGGTTTTAGGAAGATTTGAATGTCTCGGGGGAACTATTAGGATGGAGATCTAAGATTTTGAGAGTTGCGACCGATAAAAATAGTTAGTTTGGAATCTTTTTGGAAAAGGGGTAAAATGGTCATTTTTGGGTCTGAAATTTGGGTGGTGGGTATCTTGGGGTATGCGGGGTCTAAAGGAAATGTGCGGTGGCTTTAGAGGTGTGGGAATCGCGAGGATCAGAGTTATGAGTATTTTGGCCAATGAGGGGGCTTAAACTGAAATCTTAGGTTAATGAATGGGTAAATAAGGGAATTTTAAGTTTGAATTTGGTGGAGTGGCATGGATTTGAATTATAAGGTTGTGAAGAGGGTTTGGTCATTGTCAAGGATGTGTGGATCATAGGTTTTTTGTTCGAGAATTACCGTAGTGTGAGATGTGTCAAAATGGAATCTCTAATGGATGCACGACGAGATCAAAGAATTTATGGCTGAAATTTTGTGTGATTGGTTGTTTGAAGGTTTGGTTTCATGTGATTGGATCTGATCAAATAATAGGTATGGTGTTGTGGCATAATTGGGACCATCGAAAGGGAATCTTATGGATTTAATGGTGGATTTGATGGTATTTGAGTTAAAATTTGGTTTCCTAGGGTTTTGGCATATTCAAAATATATTGGTGAGGTCTGATTGGGCATTTGGAGTATGAGAAGTGGGTTAAAAAAGGGGACCGAGCAAAAATTGGGTGCTTACATTTATCTTTCAGCTTGTCTCAAAATTACTTATGATGCCATGTGAGTCATGTGTTGATGAACTAGGTCAAGTTAGGCTTTGTTCGTGTCTTAGTAAGTGACTTAGCTAGCTAAATGCATTTATCTAGGCAAATGCTTCTATGGGAAATACTTATCCGAATAAGAGCACCTGCCATTGTTCTTTTATTTCCTAGGTAAAGGCGTATAATAACCGATTTATCAAAAGAAAAAAAAAGACATTATTGGAGGTATAATATTGTCCCATCAACGATTTTTGACATGCATGGGTAATACCTGGTATGAGGGGAGTATTAATTCTCCAAGTAAACGACTCACTTGGGATTTGTTCTTTTCTGCGATATCCACTAATACGAAAAAATGAATGTGTGTTTATTTATTTTCTGTAAGACCTACCAACTTACCTGCCCCTACTTCTCGAAAAACAAACGAAGCCTTAGTGTTTTAAATCTAATGTCTTACACTTGCACATTTGACAACCTAGGAGGGTATCCTTACCTGCCTGCAACAAGAAATGTGAATACTTGAAACCTTGTATCACAACTTTATCGAGTTTGCATTTTCTTTTATATAATAGAAAAATTAGATAAAAATTAAGGGCACTTTTGTTTGGCAGGAATAGGGGCCTGGAATTAGAATCGGAATGCATTCCAATTCCAACTGTTTGATGGGCAGAATTGGAATCCCATTCCCATTCCTGGGGGAATGACATTCATTCATTTGAGGGAATGGTCATCCCCTCCTCCTCTCTTGGGAACTAAATCTCATTCCAATTTATTTCAATTCTCAATTTCAATTCATGTGTGAACCAAACGAACTATGAGAATAGATCATTCCGATTCCGATTCCAATTCCAATTCCGACTGTAAACCAAATGGCCCCTAAATGTTATATATCCTTAACAGTTATTTTTATACATAATTTTTTAACTAAAAAATTTAGACCTTTAAACTCATACCTCAAGATAAGATGAACAATCTTGAAAATACTAAGTGATGTATATATAATGGTTTTAAGTATGGTTTAAAATATCAACACTTTATCATGCGATTCAAAAGGTCAAAACTTTTTTTTTTTAATTTTTTCAGCTTGATATTTTCACAAAATATCAAGATATGTTAGGAGTTCTAGTTTTAAACATAAAGAATCCCCCCAAAAAAATCCCCCCCAAGTCGTTATATTTAACTTTTTGCTGGATTCAAAAACTGATATACATGCAATATTTTGAACCTTGATACAAGTCATATAAATGTACCAAATTAATCCAAAGATTAGGGCTATAAAAGTGGTCTCTTAAGACTAGTGCATTAATCTCAACCATTCAAATGACATACTATGATGATTCAACTAATCTAGGTCATCCGAAAAATGTAGCAAATAAATATAGAAGTCTACATCATCAAAATGGTCTCCCAAAAGCAAATAATTAATCTTGGTAATAAAAGGAATGTACCAATATTTGAACCAATCTGAGTCATTTAAGTAAAGCACTAATTTTTCCAAGAAAAAAAAAAGGTCAAAGTTAAATGAAGACCTAAAATCTAGACCACCAAAATGGCATCCTAAGATTAGTAAATTAATCCCAATTTTCCAAATGATCCACCAATATATTAACTATTTCAAACTAAAGCACCAAAATTTCTGAAAACAAAAAAGAATCTAAACCAACTAAAGTGATATAACATAGTTTTAGTCATTCGAAATATATTGAGATTTCAACCAATCCAGGTCGTCCAAACAATACACCAAATCAACTTAAAAGTAAAAGGCCGTCAAAATGCTCTACTAGAGCAATGGATTGATTTTGCCTATCTAAGTGATGCACCAAATTAAACCAAAGATCCAGTTTATAAAAGAATGAATCAATGGATGTAAGCTATCTATGTGATGTACCAAAATTTTGGTAAAACATATCTCTGCCATTAAACAATCAGACATCACCTAGTGTCAATCTTTACTTTAAAAGCATAAAAATGGCTTAGGAACAATCAGATAATTTCTTACCCACTGTAGTATATCATTAATGGGCTCGACCCACCATAAAAATACAAGAAATTTTAATTGTCACAAAAACTAATACAAGGGGCCCACAAAGCGCATGGGGGTCAATGTTAATTCTGGAATGCTATTTTATAGTCTTGTCTTCATTCCATCATAGAAGACTACAAGTCAATGTAGAAGTCAGTCAAAAAATATAAACTAGAAGTTTGATTGTCATTTCTTTCTTCACTCACGAAAAAGGGCTAGAACTTGCAGTCAGTCAAGTAAGGTAGACTAGAAGTAGTCGAAGTCAATCAAGAAATTTAGCTCAATTTAGGTTGGATTTAGATAAGCTTTAGGCAAGTTTTAAAATATCGATACGTCTGATACGCAAGTGGGGGTATATCGAGTAAATCAATATTTTTTTTATTTTTTTCGAAACCAATTTAAGGGGTGGAGGGCAATTTAAGGCTCTTTCACCTCCTAAACCGGTCAAACCCCTATACACCCATTATAGAGATATATCGGAGGGGTCTTAAAATGATACGTATCAGCCAATACATATCGATACTTTGAACCTTGGCTTCAAGATTCTATTTTTAAAATTCAAACGCACAAACCTAATTTAGAATTTGTTTTAGGGTTTGGCAGCTTCTTGGATATAAATTACATTGTTTGGAAAAGCAACTCTTATCAAACGCTCACGACCGGCCGTTTTTGGCTCAATTTTCTTAAGTATGGCCGTATGGGTACTATGCCCGACCTGGCCCGCTCCATGATCTGATTATCATCCCTACGAATGACCATAAAGTTTTCCACGTGGCAATCTGATTGAAGGTCATAAGGCCCTACTCTTTTGTTCTTTTCAGTCGTCCACATGTATCACACTATCTGTTGGTTGGTCTTCATTAAAGGGTAAAATGTGAAGTTGCATTGCACGGAGACTTTGCAAAGTGCGGTATCTTGGGTGGGTCTAGGAAAACCCATGTACAAGTATGGGCCCTGGAGGCCTATATTCCACTCGAAATCCCCGCCACGACATCTAGATATTGACCTTTCTGAGTCACCAGTGGACCAAACCCGTATATATAGCCAGTCCCATTCAATCAAATGGCTAAGGCTGAGATATGACATATTAAAATCAGGGTTTTTAAAATCGTATTGAATAAGGAATCGTTCTGGATCCGGTTCCTAAGTTGAATAGTCCGACCATTCGGTCCAAACAAATGGTCTATTATGACAAAAAATTAAAAAACTCAAAAATAGTTCGACCGCTCAGGTCAGTAGTTTACTGACCAAATCAACAGTTTTTGGCCAAATAGCAGTTTTGGGGTAAAACATAACTGGTCAGATGATCAGTTCTCAATTTTTCCGGTCCAACCATCCAATCCAGTTCGATTTTAAAAACATTGATTAAAATGAAGCAAGGAAAACTATCGGGACTCGCTCAAATGTGACATTAAAATGTAAGCAAATCATCTAGGACCTCTTCGCAGTGTATGAAAACCTTTTTTACCAAATTATTTTATTATTCATTGCTTTTTTGTATTGTTTTATTAATTGTATCTCATTAATAATGAGATACAAATGCAAGTTTATTTATTTTCTTTGGGATCCACCAACTTACCCACCCCCATTTCCCAAACAGTCTAATGCTCTGAATTTTCATATGTAATAAGCCAATAATGACCCCTCCTCAACTTTGAGACTTCAAATTATTAAAATGCCAATTAGAAGTTTGATGGGCTAGCAAAGAAAGATATCAAAATAATGAAAAGAGGCCTGTTAAAGCATGACATCGCCTATTGTTTCTTGTAATTTTCATTGTTTTTTTTTATTTTTCTTCTTTTTCATTATTGATTTTGTATTTTTTATTTTTCTATATTTTTGTTGTATTTCCTTTATTATTTATAATTTTCTATTTTTTCTTTTTCTGATTTGTATTTTATCATTTTTCTGCAAAATCGTCATAAAATAAAATGACATAAGGGCAATTTAGAGTTTTAGAAATGTTTAAATTCTCAAATAGTTAACATTCACGTGAGAATCTTTATGAAATTAATTGACTGAATCCTAACAGACAAGTGCTCAAATGGGTATTTGTTGCAAATAACAACTCAAGGGGCTAAATGTCACTACATCCGAAGTATAGGATGGCAGTATAATTTACCCAAAATATTCTATAACATAAATTGACCTTATCTCACTTCACATTATCTCATTATCTTTTAATATTAATAAAAATACCCATAGGCTACTATCTCTACCCTATACTACTGGCATAACCTGTACAAACCTTCCACAAGTTTTCCTTCCTTTTCCTACTTTTTTTTCAAAATTCAAACCAAACAAAGCCTTTAGGAAATCTCTAAGTCTTACAGTTGTAAATATAAACATTGATAATGATTAAATCCATTTAAGGGGTGTTCTTCAATATATGATTTGTTTGTCCTCTGAGTTCCAAAAACAAATTAAAAACATCTGTTTGATTGTTTTTCAAATAAAAAACCATGAAAATAGACCTAACGAAAAGTTAACCCAATTTGTGAATTCGACCCAACTCAACCCGAAAAAATAGGGTTAGAGTCTCATATTTAGCTACCTGAATGTGAGAATGATCCGAACCGACCCAATCCAAAAAGAACTAGGTTGGGTTGGGTCATGAGTCATGGATCAACCCGCTACCCGATTGTCAAGTCTTTACTCTTTATTATTTACTCTTTAAATTGTTAAATGTTCAAGTTTTTTCTTTTATATTTGGAATTTTAAGGTTAATTCCTTTAATTTTGGCATTTTCATGTACTTTTTCTTTATTTTTTAAATTTCAATCATTTTTTAGGATGACCCGAATTGACCCATGGCTCAACCCTAACCCAAACATTTAGGGTTATATTAGGGTCTAGCATTTGATAACCCAACCTGAATTTCAACCCAACCCAAAATCAACCCGAAGTGTATTGACCCAACCCGAACCTGACCCACCCAACCCAATTGTCAGCGCTACATGGAAAACATCTATTGGTTGTAAATGTACTGAAACCAAAAACATGTTCTTGTTTTTTACTTTAAATCATACAATGTATCTTACCGTCTTTCAGGAATTATATGAGATTGTACTCCAGCATTTATTTTTGTTTTTAAAACCATCATTTAGATTGTTTCAATAACATGAATTTGTTTTATAAAACATAACCAATTTGTTTGTGCTTCCAAAAAAACACAATTCAAAAACATGTTTTTTTGGCTGATATGGAAATATTGAAATAAATGAAAACAAAAACATTCATATTGTAGATTATCCCTTTAAATGTCCTCATGCTTGTACAATTTGCTAGTTGATCATTGGAGTTTCATTGTGGAATGATCATTATTTAGTAGTATTTTCAAGGTCGAAAGTATCAGAAACACAATGTGTATTGGGACGGCAATTTTAGGAGATATATTAAGATACACTTTGGATATGGATGCGGACAAAAAAATCAAGATATGCATGTATATGCTAAGAAAACTCAAATAAATCTTAAAAAACATATTACTAACAATAAATATATGTTTTATGTGATTATAAATAAATTGTCTAAACATAAAAAACCTTACTTTAATGGTTTATAAAGAATGTAGATATCGGGACACAATCGATAAATGTTGAAAAATGATAGAATAACTAAAAGGTGTATGCATATACTTTAATTTTCAGAAAATCAGTTTATCTTATTCTTTATTAATATATAAATTTAAAAATCGATTTGAGCATTTATTAACAGACAGACACTAATTAAGAAGAAAATGTTTATTTAAAAATCAAAATACAAATAATTATAATAAGCAAATGGTATAAGGCGTATTGATGGATGGTCATTACAACCGTATGGCTATGGTTCAAATCTTTTTTATCGACTACTTGTAGTTTTTACACTAAAAATCAATGGCGTGTGAAAAACTTGTCTTAAACAAGGTTTTTAAAACCAATTCAAAGAACGAATTGGTCAACGGTCCGGTTCTTGGGTCGAATGGTCTGATTATTCGAATCAAACAGTCAGTCCGTTCTGACAAAAAATAAAAAAGATAAAAAACGGTCAAAACCGTTCAAATGATTAACCACCCGGGTCAATGGTTTTGGAGAAAATTCCGGTTTTGAAGAAAAACGGAACCAATCAGCTAACCAGTTCTCGGTTTTTTTGGTCCAACTATCCGATCCAATTTTGAAACCATGATCTTAAATGTAGGAATAATTGCCTTAAACCTAAGAGTAGGAGTGGATTAATTAACACTTCCAATTAAGCACTAGAATCCAAATTCTAATTTGAAAACTTCCTTGAAGAAATTAATAGTGATGATTAATGAATCATTAGGGAAGTAAATTATCGGTAAATGCATCCCCGAAACACATAAATACGAAACAATTCAATTCTGCATGTTATGTGCATCAATCCCTCGTCAGAATGATATATATTGGCAAATTCATTGCAAAATTTTAAATCTTTGAGTATTTGGGATATGTAAATAGTGCACCATGGTTCCATCAACAACATAAACTAGAAGTGATTTGTTAAAGTTGAAGCTTTGTTATTGATAGACTAATAAAACATGGGTGAGTCAAAGAAGTAGGAAATGGCATTAAACCGATGTTTTAAAAATTGTTGTTGTTTGACAGTTAGGTGCCATTAGGCATCACATAAGTTGAACAGTAAATAAACAGCAGGGTGTTGAGAGAAATATTAAAAAATGAGGGAAAATTCCCGATAGGTACCCTATACTTTAGGTCGAGTGCCAATTTAGTACCCAAACTTTAAAATGCGACAAACTAGTACCCGAACTTTCATTTTGTGACAATCTAGTACCTACCGTTAATGGATTGTCAGTTATGTATATCATGTGACCCCATGTGCGATTTAAGACTTTTAAAAATGTCAAAATTACCCTTGAACACTATTCATCATCTTCTTTCTCAAGAAAATGAAGATAAGGTTCTGGGAACCCAAATCTCTTGATGGAGGTGAACCATCAATCAGACGTTCTTCGCCGCACTGAAGAATGCTTGCAGCAATGGCTGAGTGCGTAGGTGGCTCCCTGTTGAACCGAATGGTAAGGTGGGTCCCGCAGCTCTCTAAACCACATTATCTTGCAAACAAGAGATTTGGGTTCCCAGAACCTGATTTGGGTTCCGGGAAACTCTATCTATAAATGCCCCACACCTTCGGCAATACGATGCCACCTTTCCAGGTTCTCACCACCATCGTCGAGTCTCGTCATTTCGAGGGTCTATCTCGTTTTGCATCCATCTTAGGGTTTGTTTTTGCAGGGCTTCTGTCCAGAGTTTCTTCTTCTCTTGCATGGCAATTAGTTTGTTGGTTCGCGAGGTATCCGACCTCTGTCTTGGAAAGCCAGCGTTGAGGTCACTCTCCATTTCCGCCCCCGTCAACGATGTATTGTTGATGCTCAAGGGGTCGAGTGACAACTTTCTTAGCGTTTGGAGTTGTAATCATTCCTCGAATGCGAAAGTCGGCTTCAAGGATTGTCGATGTGTCGTGAACCTTTGCATGGTTGGTGTGATCTACTATCTATATAAAGAGGAGAACATCGCTTCCCCTTCCTCTGTGCTTAAATCTCTAGTCTCTGTTCTTCTCACGAAGCCAACAGGAATAGTGACCTGTTGGGAATGGGTACTTCATTTTACTTCATATGTTCTTCTTCAGCCTCTGTAAAGAGGATTGTCGATGTGTTTGTGTTTTTACTTCATTTCACTTAATATCTTCCATGCAAATTCTTCTGGGAATGGTTACTATTTTGTTAAACCCACTGCTTTTCTGCCTCTAAAGTCTCAATCTGATTATGATTTCTTTTGTCGGGAACATTTGAGACCGACCAAGGTGACATGGGAGCTAGCTCTTCAGCCATGAACTTTCGAACCAGGGGACATCTGGGTGGGTTCTTGATTTGGAACGTTGGAAATTGCAAGTCAACATTGCTCCTTGCATTAACGAGATTGCACTATAAAACTAGGAGGTTGGGGGAAAGAATCGTGGAGGATGACAACAAGGAGACGCGTCCTGGCCATTGGATATTGGGAAATTAATCGGGGAGATCTCCCCATACACCCTGGCAAGCTGCGATGAAACAGTCGCAGTGGAAATTACAACCCTCTCAGTGGGCAATTTAATGGCTTACATCGACTACGGTGGTCCGCCGGAAGCCCTGGTGCAGGTGGTGAAGGCAAGGTTGAAAGAGAGGAAGTTGGAAGGAATGTTGGAGGAATTCTCCCTGTCATCGTGTTCGTCAGACAAGGAGTCCTCTTCGTCGTCACCAAGGGCGCCATTGCGGTTGCGCAGGTATAGTCGACAGGGAAGTTACTCGGCGAGGATGGTGGGGAGAGCGGAGGCATCTCTCTGCACCAGTACTTCATCGATGAAGTAGTTAAACAAGTACGTAATTGTGGAAGGTTGTGAGTTTACACTTGAAGGACATTTTGTCTTTTTTCATGCTATTTAACGGCTGATTAACGACATGTATTAAATTGTCGTAAAATCAAAGTTCAGCTACTAGATTGTCGCGTTTTAAAGTTTGGGTACTAAATTGGCACTCGACCTAAAGTATAGGGTACCTATCGGGAATTTTCCCAAAAATGATGCATGTTTTTCCCAATTATTGGCTCTCACACAAATTAAGACAAGCATTTTGGAATAAACACCTATCTGGCCGTGAACTAACATTGTTTCTTTAATAAGCGCCCACAAAACCAAACACCATTTGAAAGGTTAGGTGACAATTTGAATAGTTCAATCATCACTATCAATAACATGTTGAAAAACATTGCATTCAATAGAACTAATGGGAAAAGAGGATTCGTGTGCCCAACTCGATATATTACATACAAGACTTAGATGATGATCAAGGTTTTTAAAACCGAACGGTCACGGGTCTGGTTCTCGGGTCGAATGGTCCGATCGTTCGAACTAAACGGATGACCCGTTCTGACAAACCGAATGGTTATGAGTTTGGTTCTTGGGTCAAACGTTCGACCGCTTGAGTCAGCGGTTGATGACCAAATCAATGGTTTTTGGCGAAAATAATGATTATGGGGTAAAATAGAATCGGTTACCGATTTTTTCGGTCCGGTTTTGAAAACCATAATGATGATAATAATAAGAAAAAATTCCCAATCAGTACCCTGCACTTTGGGCCTAATTTCACTTTGGTCCCTAAACTTTAAAATGCAACAATTTAACACCCAAACTTTGAAAACGTATCAATCCAGTACATGCCATTAACCAGCCATTAAGTGGCATTTGAAAAGACATAAATGTCCTTCGAGTGTCATCTAATTCTCTTTATCGACCATCCAAACGTTGACAAAAAATGAATAGTCTCAAATCCTTACTTCTACTATTCACAAGAGGCAAGGATTTGAGACTGGTCATTTTTTATCAATGTTTGGATGGTTGATAAAAAAATAGATGACACTCGAAGGACATTTGTGTCTTTTCAAATGTCACTTAACAGTCGGTTAACGGGCTAGTTAACAAACAGTAGATACTAAATTGACACGTTTTGAAAGTTCATGTATTGAATTGTCGCATTTTAAAATTCAGGAACCAAAGTGACACTAGACACAAAGTACAAGGTACTAATAGGAAATTTTCCCTAATAATAATGATGACATAGTGTATCATAATGGATGGATAAAATAGTAATTTTATATAATGAGGCAGAAATAAAAGATAACAAATAAAGATATAAATCAATATTGTATTATCTACTTTATATATTACTAAAATAAGATTGCATGCTATGAAGATATATGATATATGGTATATGGCAATGTTTTCAACCCATCGTTAACCCAGCCGGTCGAACCATTTGAACCGTGACCTGGCTAGGATTTCAGGTCTAATTTAGTCAAGACCCGTCAGGATGGTAAAAAATTGTCGACTTGGTCAAGAACCGTTCGATCCGGTGACTGGGTCACGGGTTGCACATTCAATGCATCCAAACTTTCAGAGGCCATAACTTTGCACTTTGATGTCCGGTTAGGTGATTTTTTTTAATTTGGGTTAACTTTTCGAGATCCATGCACCCCTATGTGCCATACGCACCTTGCTGAAAGGAGGGAGAGATACATCATATGGACGCTAAGAATGCAGTGGAATAGGGTGGGCGAATTTCAAAAATTTCTCTCCTTCCTTCCAACTGGGAATCATATTCCCTAATTTTTGAATACAATATTCAATGATCTAATCGAACCAAAATCGAACCAGATCTGAACTAAAGAGAAAGGGAAGAGTTATACCTGATACGGATAATCGGTATCTCCCAACATCGGTGTTCACGCCCAAAGAATACTCCCAATATCTGCTCCCACTGAAGATGACGCAGTGATATTGGAACAGAACCAACAATGTTCATCCTACGAACCAAATTCTTCACAAGAATTCGATGGAAGCGAAGAGCACCGTACACAACCAACCTTTCAGCAAATATTGATATCAAGAATACCTTCTTGATCTTTCCCTCTCAGAGAGATTGAACTAGGCAGTGAATGGCGGCGGTGGCTGAAGGAGAACTCTAGAGCTGAAGTTGGCGTATTTGCTTTTCTTCTCTCTAGGGTTTCTGAGATCCTATCTCAGACTGCAGAAGGAGAGAGTGCTAAAACCCTTGGTTCAAATTCTAGTAATTCAACCTTAGGGTTTCTCATCATTCTTAGTGATTAAGAAACCTCTAATCCCATTAGGAGTTATCCTAATCCAAATCTGTATTTGGATAGGGAATTATCTTAATCCTATCTGCAAATAAGGTTAGCCCACTTCTGATCTTATCAAGAGATTACCAGATTCAAATCTTTATTTGAATCTCAGATCCGCCCCTTTAAGTGGGTAGTTAAATCTGCCAGTTCGAAATGGCATTTAGGCCCAATAAGTATTAAGTGCTCAGTAGGCTTCCAAACTGCTGCCCAGTTGAGCTTCTTTGTATGGCGTGGGACCCAAGCATTGATCTACACATCAACCACATGGGTTCGGCCCAGCCTTTGTTACAAGGCCTAGCCAAATTCACTGGAGAGCCCAATGAACCCCTTGAGCCCATCACATGGACTCTATGGGCCCAACACTTACACTAAGTGGTCATTGGGCCAAGCCAACTTATAAAAACCTAGGGTATGTGGGCAGATGCAAGATTAGCCCATCAGGTGTAACCCTAAATGGCCTTACACTTAACCTCTCAGCCCATAATGATCAAACACTGCCCGACAAGAGAGGACCTCTCCCTCGGTTGCAAGGAATAGTGTTACACTCTTTGCTCATATGGATCCCGGGAATTAAAACCATTTGCAAACATTTTGAAAACCGTATATATCTATATATCTTATATATAAATTTTGCAAAACAAAAATTCCAACAATTGAAATCAACTGCCGGCAGTTTGGTTTCCATCAGAGAGAGTGCATCCCCGATCATTACCTTTGTCCGACAAAGGGGTTGATCCTATCACTATGATCACCCACTCAGATGAATTCTCAGACTGTCCCAACATACCCAGGTTTTGACCCCTGCTAAGGATCTCAC